GTTAAAAAGTCAACGAGAGACTCCGGATTAAAGAAGGGTCTGTCAGCAAGAAGGGAACGTAAAGAAAGAGCAGCAGAGCGGAGGCGACGTTGGAGGTAAATTCTGCGTGCTTGTTGATAGAGTGGGCAGTTCAACAGAATGTGGCTAACAGATACTGGAACGTGACAATTTTCACATAGAGGACAGGGTGCCTCTCCATGAGGTACCCGTGAGTAAGACGAGTGGGGCCAATGTGAAGACGGGAGAGAGTAGTCTCCCAAACCCGAGATTGATGACAAGATGACGGCCAGAAACCTATGCTCGGTTTAATAGAATGAAGTTTGTTATAGAGCAGATCAGACCAATATTGTTGCCAATGGGTGCGAAGGTGGGTAGCAATTACAGCAAAATAGTCTGTGAATGGAACTCCTCTATACGAAACTGGGAGGTTATGTACTGCTGACTGCACAGCAGTGTCTGCCTGTTCATTGCACTGTACTTCAACATGACCACGAACTCAACAAAAAACATCATCTTTGTGTTTGGTAGAGATACGGTGTAACCGAAGTTGGATACAGAAAACTAGGGGGTGAGTTATCAAATTTTTGTATAGGCTGTAAAGCACTAAGGGAGTCTGAAACAGCCACAAATGGTGACACAGGCATAAATGCAATACGGATAAGTGCTGCAAGAATGGCATACAATTCAGCAGTAAAAATGCTAGCCGAGGATAGGAAATGCCTTCACACGACACTGTCCGGAAACACTGCTGCGAATCCAAGGCCATCAGAAGGCTTAGAACCATCTGTGTACACTGTGATGGCATAAGAAAGAGTGGAAGTGGTCAAGAAAAAAGAGAGTGGGAAGCTACCATAGACAGTTGGGCTTTTGTGCATGGCAGTGAGAAGGAACAGACACAAACAGCTGGAAAAGGGAAAAGCGAGATGCTACATGAACATCAAAAGGTGGTAACTGAAGGGAAGACAAGAGCGAATGTAGGTGAAGAGAAAAGGGACGGAGTAAACAGGAGTGACGAACAAATAATGTCTACTAACATCAGTGACTATACTATATATAGAAGGATTGCGGATATAATGAGAGCGAACATAATAGCGAAGGCAATGGGCATTACGGCGCTTGGACAAGGATGTAATATTCGTTTCTGCACAGAGACAACAGGTGAAGAGCAAAAAGCACCAAGGCATAAACGTAATCCATGGTGATGGATGGGATTAAGGCTAGAGCGAGTAGCAGGAGAGGCCGCCGAATAGATCTGGTCACCATAATCGAGTTTCGATAAAATTAGGGCTGACATAGGCAAAGGAGAGTTCTACGATCAGCTCCGCATGAAAGATGAGTGAGGGTTTTAAGAAGGTTCAGCCAGCTGTGACAAGTTGCCTTAAGAGAGGTAATGTGAAGTTTCCAGGATAACCTACGGTCCAACAGAAGGCCTAGAAACCTTACCGTATCATGTTCTGGGACATGTGAGCCATAGAGGTACAATGGATGATCAGAGATGACAGAACGTCTGGTGAAAGTAATTTGGCGAGTTTTAGTACTGGAAAATTTAAACCCATGTGTGGTGGCCCAATTGGAAACATGGTTAACCGCATGCTGGAGAAAAACTTCAATGAGGTGACAGTCAGCGCCTGCACAAGCTATAATGAAGTCATCAACATAGTGTGATGACCAAATATTGGATGGAAGAAGTGAGGCCAAATCATTTATAGCAAGGAGAAAGTGTTGTGCTCAGAACACATCCCTGGGGGACACCTTCAGCTTGGACAAAGTCCAGGGAGAGCATATTATTAACCCGAACACAGAAATGTCTGTCAGTTAAGAAGTTCTTATGGTAGATTGCCTCGGAGGCCTAAGGAGTGGGTTTGGGCCAAAATATTATACCTCCAAGTTGTGTCCTACGCCTTCTCAAGGTCAAAAAATAGGGCAATAACTGAGCGGTTATTCACAAAGGCATTACGACCATATGTATCCAAGCGTAGTAAGGGGTCAATGGTAGAACGGCCCTTACGAAAGCCATATTGACTAGTGGAGAGACTGTTTTGTGTCTCTAAATACGACATTAAACGTTGATTTACCAGACGTTCCATCAACTTGCAAACTGCACTGGTAAAAGCAATGGGACGATAGTGGGAGGCACCATATCCCATAGTACACGGTTTGCAGAAAGGGAGAACAGTGGCAGATTTCCACAGCTGGGGAAGAACTCCTTGTGTCCAAATAAGATTAAAGTCATAAGACTGCAAGGGCTGACTGATGTAAATGTTAACATCCGAATATGATTGCCGTCAGGCTCAGCTGCCAATGAACGGCAAGCTGAGAGTGTTGCCTCCAGTTCCAGAAGTGTAAAAGGCACATTATAAGAGGTGATGGTGGAAACAATCTCACTAGCAAGTGCGTTTAGCGTTACGGATGACACGGTAAGCGACCACTCTTCTGCTTAAAATCAAGAAATCTCTGTGGTTCTATTGAACCGGTACCTGCCCCACGCAGTGCGTTTCAAACGTACTACCAGAGCTCAAGCAGAGACCACCATTGCATGTACTTTTGAGAATGCCTGCCCAAGGTTTGGGGTACAGTATGAAGCTGCGGTTAAAACTGAGGTCGAGAAGAGGTGTAAAAGCTCATCAATGGAGGACAAAGAAGAAACCTCACTAAAAGCAGTCAGCTGCGAGTAAAGGTTCCAATTTGCTCGATTAAATTGCCAGGTTGGGCTACGAAGAGGTGGTGAATATGAAGGATAAGTAAGAATGATCGCTGTCATGTAAGTCCGGGAGGACAGACCAGGTGAAGTCTAGTGCAGTGGAGGAAAAGCAGACTGAGAGATCAATGCAAGAGAGAGTATGAGTACGAGGATCAAAATGGGTGGGAGTACCCGTATTTAAAACATGGGGGGAGAGGGGGGGGGGGGCGAGAAGCGAGAAAAGCCTCTAACTGAATGCCATGGGAGTCGCAGGTAAAGGTATCTATGGACTAGAGGGGTTAGAATAGTCCACATGTGGCGGCAGCGGAAAACGTTCAAGCAACGAAGGAATGGGACGCTGCGAAGATAGGAGTCATGCAGATGGAGGAGTGGGAAAAGGAGGAACAGGAGGTAGATCAGTGTCCATTGATGGTCTAATCTCTTCAATATATTCTGAGATAGCTTCAAGTATTTCGGAAGACAAAGACATTGTATGGAAGACAATATTGGAGATGGATGGGGGAGGGTGAGTAAAGATTGGGACAGCAATGGACTGTACCAAACTAGGGGGGAGGGGGTGACGGAAGGGCAGAGGGAACTGGAGAAGTGTGGGAGGGGACAGAAGAGGAAGAAACCTGGGAGGGGGCAGAAGAGGAAGAAACTTGGGAGGGGGCAGGGGAGAAAGGTATAGTACGAGGAGGAGGGTGAACCTCCACACCTTTAACAGAGCCAGTGAGAGGTGAAGAACCAGGTACAGAGACTGGAAAGGTAAAATGTGGAGGTAGAAGGGAAGGGAAGGAGGGGTTAAAAGATTTGAGCAATGGGGATTTTTTGGACTTCTGAGAAGTAGAGAGGCCATTGGGAAGAGGTGTTGTACGAGGTCTTGTTGATACTGAAACTGTGAGGGAGAACATGAAGAAGTGAGAACAGACTGAGGTGTTGAGGTAGGGGCTTCTGAGTCCAGGACAGCAAAAGAATTAGAGATATGAGTGGCTATGGAAGGGGTAACCAAAGAGAAGGCTGCAGAAGATGGGGCCCCAGAGGTGGGGGGATGTTCAGAAATACGAGAATAAGAAGTACGGGGTAGTCTCCCTTGGAGGCTTAGATGACAAACTGCCATAGCATAGGGCAAACCTGCCTCTTTGAAGCAACGGATTTCTCACTCATTTAAGTAAACTTGGCAACGGCAAGAGTAAGATGGGCGAGCCTCATGACAATTAAGGCAAGAGGGAGGTACACTAAAAGACGTGTACTGGAATGGTCATCGGCAGCACAGACTGGGCATTCGGCTATAGACCTGCAATATTTCGCTGGATGACCACAACACCAGCAATTTCTACACTGTTGCAGTGTACTGATCATCTTTTGAACTTGTAAACAATATCCCGCTATATAAACAGAGGATGGGAGTTCACGGCAGTCGAAAGTTAATTAAGCTACTTTGTAAGGGTATCGTCTCTGCCCGAGGGCAGGAAGGACATAGGTGTCTACTTTGATTGGGAGGTCTTGGAGTTCCAGCTGTTCTAGAATATCATTGCCATATGTCTGGAAATTCTGTTGGACAATGGTATGGGGCAGAATGACAGTGCCACTACAAGAATTGAGGGAATGACATTTTTCGATAGTGACAGGAATAGCATCGATATTTGAAAGAGAAAGGGCGTGAGCTTGGTTACCATTCTGGACAGTGATGATGCGTGTACCGCTCTTGAGAGCGTGAAAGGATATATCTCTACTAACATGGTGTAGGAGCGCATTGCCAATATTATGGTCGAAAAGATAGGCAGTAGAGGAAGTCAGTCGTAAAGTAAAGAGTTTTGTCCACTGTGCATTTTGAAACTGAGCATGGAAAAGGAGTGCATGACATATCAGTCTTTTCTGAGCAGAACGAGAAGGAAGCGAAGTAGTATCACCAGGCAACTGTCCTGAGTGTTTAGGAGTGGGACCTAAGTTTGTCCGATGTGAGACGGGCTGGCGATTCAAAAATTGCTGCATTGTAGAGGGAGAGGCCAGAAGCATAGTCAAAGAAGAGCGGAGGTCAGATGTATCGAAGGAGTCAGTCAAAACCCTGGTACCTGAAGTGGGTGATGAAATTGCACCAGCAAGAGGTACAGGGGCATTTGAAGTGTCCGAAGAGTGGTCAAAAAACGAGGCAGGGTCGGAACAGGGTGTGGTATCAAGAACGGACCCAGGGGGAGAAGGTTCATGGACTGGGGACTCCATGGTTAGATCACTTCTATCTGCTTGTTAAAAAAAAAAAAAAAAAAAAAAAAAAAAAAAAAAAAAAAAAAAAAAAAAGGAGGGGGGGGGGGGGGGATGGAGGAATAGCTCCTAGGACGCAAAAGAGGGTTGTAAATCCCCCTCCATGCCCAAGAGGACCTCAGCACCACAAGCAGTGCAGGTGCAGCATGGAACCTGTGCCATACCCTACCCTTCATGCCAGTAAACCAGCAATCCAGGATAGCAACCTCACATCCACCGAGCCACCTCAGTGGACAAAAGAGAGGGCGGCTGGACACCCGCCACAAGGCATACCTCCTTTGGCCACCACCCCTTGTAATCCAACAGGCAGCCTCCAGAGATACACCTGTCACCCAAAAGACACCCAAACCCATACCCTGGGAGACCGGAGAGGGATCGGGACATCCCCAGGTGATCCAGATTCCATGGAAAACTACACCACTGCCAAGGACCTCAATGGAATGGGATGGACCCCGGTACCCTTCCCCCCTACCTAGGAACTAGATTGCCTATAGGAAGAATCCCAAAGGCTGAAAAGAGGAAGGGAATAGGGGAGGGATAGAGAGGAGGAGGAGGAAAGGAAAAAAGGGAGGATGGGATAGGGAAGGGGGGATTGGGGGGTAATTAGGTTTGATGTGAGGAAAGAGACCAAAAGGTCTAATTCCTCAGACCAAGAGCCTCTTCACCATGCCAAGGAGCCCCCCTTGAAGAGGCTGCACTCTAAAGAATGGGTGGGGATACTGTAGTTTGGAGGGGCATCTGAGATGTAGTGTCGGCATACCTCTGGTAAGACAGTGACAGTGATGGCGAAAGTTTTTCGTTTTACCATTCACCCTACCTTTGTGGGAGACGAACAGTGTTAAAAAATAAAATTAAGCTTTTGTCTTTAATCCTGTAATTTTCTTTAAATACTACTCACAGTAACAGTTTGTCACTAGATTAACAAATCAATGCAATAGCAAGAGAATACTATACTCTGCTAGAAAATGTTTTGTTCAACTGTATGAATGGGTATATCACACATGATGCTGAAGATAAATCAAGAAATTTTAAAGACCAGTCTGATATACGTACTGTATATACAGTATTTTAGTTAACAAGTACATTAAACCTAGATAAGGGTAGTGTTGGATGACATTTTTATCAAAACAAGTGCAATAATTCCTTTAAATACAAATACAGGAAGAAAATAAATCATGTACAGGTATTCATAATATAAGTAATTCCATTGTATTGGTGTAGATGCTGGAGTCCAGCACTGTGCTCTGACTCTATATGGTTCAACATTTCAACGGAACAACTATTGCGGTAGCATTCTCTTGGCTATAATTTATACAATAATGAATAATAAATAAGTAATAGAAATATTTAGTGACTTCTATTTGAGATTCTTACATAAATGTCTACAATATTACTTACATAAATTATATTTCTGATAATTATTTAAAATTTTTTTTTTTATATATTTGTACTAATTAAAAGAGAAGCACAGCACAGAAGAATTTTATAATTTCAATATTTTTTTTTTTTTTACAAAAATTAAAATTCTGTATTCTATATTATTTCTGTCCAATACATTATATATATTATAGTGCACTTTTACGTAGTGAAACCTTTTGTAAGCTGCACATCTCCCTCCATATTTATGAGCACTTCTAATTTGCAGTATATTCTTGGTAAACTGCCTCAGCTGATATAAAGTATAATTATTAACCCAGCCTCAGACAAAAGCTTCTTCTTACAACAATGTGTAAAAACGTCACACTGGGGAACTGAGGACATTGTTTTCTATATTAAGTGATTTAAAAGTGCCATCATGTTTACTTGGCTGCTTTAAATGAAGATAACATCCTCCCTGGTCAGGTAATGAATGAATTTCTTTTTTTTTTGGCTAGATTAAATTATTTTAAATTGCTCTAACCCAAATTAAGAAGGGGGATGTTATCTACACAAGAACAATTAGGTTCAAATAACCAGCCTTGAGTGCAATGCTTTTATCAATGTAGAACACAAGGTGTTCCCCAACACTAGCACAGGTTGACTTTAGTGCATTATGTAATTCACGGGGTAAAAAAAAAAAACAGGCTTTCATACGAGGATACAGTAGGGCCCCAACTTACAATGTTCTACGCTTTGGAACCAATTAGTATTTTTTTTTAACACGTTGGCTGTTTCCCACCGAGGCAGGGTGACCCAAAAAGAAAGAAAAACCCAGAGAAAGAAAAAACTTTCATCATCATTCAACACTTTCACCATCACTCATACATAATCAATGTCTTTGCAGAGGCGCTCAGGTACGACAGTTTAGACGTCCCTCCAAACTGCCAATATAATAAACCCCTCCTTTAAAGTGCAGGCATTGTATTTATCACTTCCAGGACTCATGTCCGGCTTACCAGTTTCCCTGAACCCCTATAAAATATTACCTTCCTCACACTCCAACAACTTGTCAGGTCCCAAAAACCATTCATCTCCATTCACTCCTATCTAACAAGCTCACGCACACTACTTGGTATTTACAATATTACAAATATTTAATCAAATTATTTTCAATCACTGAAGTTTTTTCCAAATGCATTAATACTTTGTGTATGAAACTTAAATGCACAGAAAGCTCACATTTGTTTGGTAAATATTGGTCAAGTTAAATAGATTCAGTATTTGTGATTTTCTTTATTTCAATGTATGTTTTCAATCTTATGTTTTACCAAATATTCATACATTGTGTAAATTCATGCTATGGATGACTTTTTTTTTAAGAGAAGTTAAGTGGGAAAGGCAAATGAGAGCTGGAACTCATACCACACACTCCCTGACACAATCATACTCACCCCTACCTTCCCACACTATATAACCTCAGCTGCTACCCACTCCTACACATCAGTACTGTATTGTATACTATTGTGTAGCTCTACTCTGTTTAACATGTATACAATGATCAATATAATACTATTTTTTAAGTAAATGGAGCAATGCTAATTATAAAATATTTGATAAATATTCTTAGTTAAAAAATAAAACAAATTAGATATAGATTATGGCTAAGGAATACATCTAGTTATAAAATGGGGGGCTATGGAAAAATAGGTTCTCAATTCCCAGCACTCGCAATTTTCTGCATTGCATTAACATTTTAAATTGAGGCCCTATTATATATTAAAATTACTGGGTTCCTTATGTACTCTCCTAAATGACCAGAAAGGCAAACTTCCAATGGGAAATTTCCTAAAATTATTTGGCAATTTTTATTATCTAAGAAAAATAAATATAAAGCAATGTTAATCAGGCCCAAGTTACTGGTCTGCAGCCACATCAGCAGTCAACATAAGTGTTTTCTGCTTAATGCAGATGCTAACAACCTTGCCAACTCCTCCAAACTTCTCTCATACAGAGATTACAATGCTAATAATGAATGTATACATCCTGACTTCAGAAAGTTAAATATTAGCAATAAAAGTACTGTAGTACTATACCTAGTATAATACTGTACACACAAATTTAGATACTGTAATAAACATTGAAAATAAAGAAGTTACAGGTACAATTTACTAGTAAATTTTTCCCATTCCAAAAATCACTTATATGGAGGGTTTACTGCACCTAATAAAGAGGACCTCAATTGTTAGTCAAAACAAAGACAACCATCCTCTGGTTTCATCTCCATGTAGGTTTTGCTCTCCCATTTACCTGTGTTAATTACACATTGATATATCAGCATTAAAATGCTATCTTTCTAGAATGAAAATGTTTATTTTATATATTCAGCTTTGATTTCATAACAAACAATTTAGAATTTAGCATTAGTGCTCTTCACTTCATCCAGGTCAGTTAGATACACAGGCAGGTTTTAATTAAGCATACAAGCATATCCACAACAATGAACACCTTTAAGTTTTCTTCACAGGGACGTATGATGTAAATAGCACATTTTAAAAGCATTTCTCACCAGGTCGGTACAAAATATTTGAAAACTTTAAGGATAAAATTAACAAGTACAGTATTTGCTAGATTATGAGAACAGCTGTGGTCCATCAACTACACTCTTCTCAAGTATACATTAAATAAATGATAAATGTAAGCCACTGCACACAACTGTTGTATGATAAAAAATAAATATAGCCAGAAACTAAAGGAATTGTCAACTAAACACCTGTATTCTCTGGTTTACCCTTTTATGAAATTTTCTAAATGGGATTGTTAAGATTATTGTTTTGTACAGTAGCTCTTGTATAACACTTGTGTGTAGTATGAAAATACTGTGCTCACACTCACCACCTCTACTGAATTAGCTACAATAAAAAATAAAAAATTACGATGAGCTTACCTGATATTTTGATTATCTGAAAAGTTGTGGCACCTTCATAATTGATAATCATGAAAATACTATAATCAATTTACTGCAATTATGCATCTTCAATATTTACATCAAATATCATAAAATAATGTAACTAAGCACTAGGAAAATGGGTCCCTCTGAAGAAAACTTACAATTACAGTACTAGTTGTTTCAGCCTTGTATCTTGAATTCTGTCAACTTTGTTATTCCAAAGCAACAATGACAGCTATTAACAAGGTGGCATCATTCTCTTTTTGTCATTCATATTGAAATGATAATAGGAACTTCAATATGTACCTGAAGAACAACAATTTAAGTTCAATCATTTTATATCTTCACACCATAATGAATTAAACAAGAGAAAAACATCACTAGGACTCAAGGGGAATGGCTAAATTTAAATTTAAGATCCAAACGAACCTTCTCAATCAATTCAATCAAATTTACGATTAGCAGAAAAAATAACTTAGAAAAAATAAAATAAAAATATTTTCTCACACAAACTCCATTTGGTTAAGCAATATTTGAGACAGGTATCACATATCCAATGAAAGATATGCTGAGGAAGGCCCCATCAACCTATATAAACATGAGATCAAAACTGACACTCAACTCTTTCAAGTCAGTATGAATGCTTACATGAATTCATATGATGCACTGCACACCAACAGTACACTGATGAACTGCACACCAACAGTACACTCATGCATGGTACACCAACAGTACACTGATGCACTGCACACCAACAGTACACTGATGCACTGCATACCAATAGTACACTGATGCACTGCATACCAACAGTACACTGATGCACTGCACGCCAACAGTACACTGATGCACTGCACGCCAACAGTACACTGACGCACTGCACACCAACAGTACACTGATGCACTGTGATGAAATTAAGACATGTGCAACATCTGGGTATCTTTATTGTAGACGTTTCGCCATCCAGTGGCTTTATCAATACAAATTTTAGGACACAACTTGTCAGACACTGCAGCATCATGGAATCTTGATTCTGAGGACACGTACATAACCTTCACGGCTACGACAACTACAACTAACCCATCTCTTTGGGAAAGACCTACTTCCACTGGGGAATCCCGCCTACCAGTGACTATGCCCTCATCTGCTACACCTGACGTTACTATATAAGCGCCAGGCTCCTTTCTTCTACTTCAGAATCTCCATGACTATGGTGCTCTTCGCACCTACTCCTAGGTTGAGGGACTGATTACCTCATCTTCTGTACATAGTTCTACTGTCTTCAAGTTATGTCCTAGAATTTGTATTGATAAAGCCACTGGATGGCGAAACGTCTACAATAAAGATACCCAGATGTTGCACATGTGTCTTAATTTCATCTTGTCGGTATTATATACCATTCTTACACAACTGATGCACTGCATACCAATAGTACACTGATGCACTGCATACCAATAGTACACTGATGCACTGCACACCAACAGTACACTGATGTACTGCACACCAACAGTACAATGATGTACTGCACACCATCAGTACAATGATGCATTACACCCAAGATGTATAGTTCAACAGTGTACTACACAAGATGTACAGTACACTGATGTACATGAAAAATACCATACATACAACAAGTACTGCATAGTACTAGATGAACAACAGAAGTAGTCAATAAATAAGACAGTTCACTCACTCCATTTTCAAGCATTTAATATACAGTTTACCGTAGTGTGTGTGTGTGTGTGTGTGTGTGTATTATATATATATTTTAACACCCTGGCCATCTCCCACCGAGGTAGGGTGAACCAAAATAGAAACACTTTCGCTATCATTCACACAATCACTGTCTTTGCAAAGGCACTCAGATACGACAGTTCAGATGTCACCCTAAACAGCAAATATCCTAAACCTCCTTTGAAGAGTAGGTATTGTACTTCCCACCTCCAGGATTCAAGTCCAGCTAACTGGTTTCAATGAATCCCTTCACAAAATATAACCCTGCTAACACTCCAACAGCTCATCGTCTCCAAAAAACCATTCATCTCCACTCCAAACACAGATGCCTGCCTGCTGTGTGTCACAGCCCCTCAGACACGTGTGTAAGCATGTTAGACAGGAGTGGGGATAAATGTTTTTTCAGACTTGATGAGCAGGTTAATATTTTGTGAAGATATTCAAGGAAATTGGTCAGCTGGACTTGAATCCTGGAGGTGGGAAGTACAATGTCTGCATTTTAACCCCTTGATTGTTGCAACCCCCAATCCTGAGGGGTCTCAAAAAAAATAAAACACTTATGAAACGATAGAGAATCTTTTCCCTATTGTAATGACACACACAAAAAAAAATTGATGGAAAACTGACGAAATTACGCTCTTGCAAAGTTAGTGACCTCGGTGATATTTACAAATCGGCGATTTCGCCCACTTTGAGCCCTATTTTCGGCTAATTCCATTGTTCCAGTCGACCAAACTCACAGCTATTTCTTTAGAACTACATTTTTTCTATTGATTGAGTACAAGAAACTGCCCATTTATCGATTTCAACTACCTAATAACGTGGTCAGAAATTTGCAATTTTAGCCAATTTCACGAAAATTAAAAAATATGACAATTTCAAAATAAGGTCCAGAATGAACAATATACACATTCCTGGCTCTAAAATAACATTTTCTTTGTTCATCAGTCATGTCTCCAGGACCCTCTGATATTACTCTTGCTTTCTATTTTGAATTTTTATTCAAACAAAAAATAGAAGATTTACTGTTATGCTGACTACTGCAATACTGTAATAATTATACAAATAATGTCAACCCATTCATGACTGCATATTAGAATGGCTAGTTGGACATTTATTGGACAATGACATCATTTGTTTACTTTTGAACATAGGCAAAAATCAAACATTTCCCCTACTTTGAGCTCTATTTCCAAGTTCTTTTTATAGTAAAATTAATCAAAATCACCTCTATTTCTATAATATGTTTTCCATTCTATCAAATGAGACCAAGAAAACGAGAATACAACCACAAATGCTATATGAAAATAGACCACAAATTCGGCATTTTAATTAAAAAAAAAAAAAAAACGGTCAGTTGTTTTTTCTCATTATGAACTGCACGCTGCAGGATTTTTTTTATATGGTGAACACTGACCACACAGACCCATTCTCTCACATGTGGGCTTACCAAAACAGTCAAAGGAATAAAGGAGGGGTTTGGGATACTGGCAGTAGGGAGTGACATCTAAACAATAGTATTTGAGTGCCTTTGCAAAGACAGTGATTATGAGTGAACGATGGTGAAAGTTTCTTTTTTTAGGTCACCCTGCCTCGGTGGGAGACGGCCATCGTGCTAAAAAATTGTATATCTAGAGTGTACATACAGAATACATATACAGTGGACCCTCGAATTTAGTAGTGCCTTTTCTGTATGAAAACTTTTTTTATTATCTATAAAATGTATGTTTTGTTAATATTTCCCATAGGAAATAATTAAATCCAATTAACCCATTCCAGACACCCAAAAATATTAACAAACAATACATTTTATAAATAAAAATAGTTTTGTGTACAGAAAAGGCACTACTAAATTCGAGGGTCCACTGTATATTAAACACACAAAATTATATCCTTTTTTTTCTTGGGGTGTTATACAAAGTTCTGAATGATACGTTCCAGAACCAACATCAACTTGTACTTCCCAAAATTCAGCTTTAAGCTGAATCCCAGCAAAAGTAAGTACAAGAGTTTAAAAGTGACAGCAATATACAAACTCCTGAAGTATAAGTGCTTTATCTAGTCATGATATTCTTGATAAAAGTAAGAGCCCAGTTTTAAGTGCGTGCTGATGTCAGCACTACCATCAAGAGTAAAACCTATTAAATTTCACAAGGACAAGCTTTCTATCTTATACCTGCGAGCTAGTGAAGTGTTTCTTCCGGACTGAGCAGCAGTTAAAAATTGTAATATCTTAACAATAAATTTTTATTACAAGACTTTTTATAGACTGTAGAAATTCAAAATACATTCTACACCTAAATTACTACAATATATTAAGTTTTCTGGGTTGTCAAATCCACAGGCAGTGGACCTATTATACATTATTTGTGTCATGTACATTTAAAGAAGATCAGTGACTGGCAGTAGTAAACAGATGACAATAATGCATCACAGATTAAGAGGGTCAATGGGGTAGACCAATCTCTCTTCTAAAACAGGAGCAGCTATACCTAAGACAAAAATAATTATAATGAAAATAAATTTTGAACAAAATGAAATCATGACAAACTTTATTTTCAACATTAAGGAGTATTAACAACAGTACTGAAGGCAAGACAGGTGGAGAGCAGCAAAACTTCTGCTCTGTGTAGAGCTTTGTCAACACAATGATTTAATAAAGCTCTACACAGAGCAAAATGTTGTTCCAATGAAAGTTTGCACTGCATCTGTATTTGTTTTTCAAATTTCTTTCGAGTCATACCTTCGACATCCTCAACTTTTAACTATTAGCCACCCTTATTACATTTTTACCAGTTATTCTTATTCTTTTACAAAGCCTTAAGACATAATACTGGCAACCTGAGGTATAACTATCCACAGCTGGTCACAACACTATATATACCCCAATGAACCTCAAAATAAATCAATGTAAACTATATAAACACTTCTAAAACTCTAAAGCTATAAATCACGAGGCCAACCATGGATGATGCTCTAGTGCCTCTTTAGATCTATCTCCATAGTCATAAAGGATTTCTGTTCCTGGCTCCAAATCACATTTAGCTAATAAAATTAAATGTGGTTTACCACTGACCTCCACCGCTTTTGTAACCAGGTTACCATTGCGACTGTGGTTCACTAGCCGTCCTAAGTAACCGCTCTCTTCTGTGGCATCAATGCTGCAAAACACAATATTAATGAGAAACTACAACATGTAACTTATGAACAAAAATCATTGCCCCCCTTTCTTCCCTAGAAACACAAGACAGAATATTAATCCTTTAAATAACAAAAAGGCACAATACCGTGACTGGAACGATACACAAATAACCCGCACATAAAAGACAGAAGCTTACGACGACGTTTCGGTCCGACTTGGACCATTGACAAAGTCAATGACTTTGTCAATGGTCCAAGTCGGACCGAAACGTCGTCGTAAGCTTCTGTCTTTTATGTGCGGGTTATTTGTGTATTAATCCTTTGACTGTCACAACCCCAAATCCTGAGGCGTCTCCTGGTGTCGCAAAATATTTGAAAAAATCTTATGAAATGATAAAGAATCTTTTCCCGATGGCAATGACACCAAAAGTACAAAATTTGAGGGAAAGCTTATGGAATAACGCTCTTGTGAAGTTAGCGACCTCGGGGATATTTACAAATCGGCGATTTCGCCGAGTTTGAGCCCTATTTTCGGCTAATTCCATTGTTCCAGTCGACCAAACTCATAGCTATTTCTTTAGAGCTCCATTTGTTCTATCAACTGAGTACAAGAAACAGCCCATTTACCAACTTCAACTACCCAATAAAGTGGTCAGAAATTAGCAAGTTGTCCAATTTCACGAAAATTAAAAAATATGCCAATTTCAAAATAGGGTCCAGAATGAACTCAAGACATTCCTGGCTATAAAAAAAACATTTTCTTTGTTCATCAATCATGTCTCCAGGCCCCTTTGATATTACTCATGCTTTCTATTTTGAATTTTTATTCACAAAAAAATAGAAGATTTACTGTTATGCAGACTACTGCAATATTGTAATACAGTGGAACCTCAAATATCGAACTTTCTTTGGTCCAGAAGGCTGTTCGAGTGCCTTTACCGAATGAATTTATTCCCATCAGGAATAATGTAAATTAGATTAGTCCATTTCAAACCCTCAAAAATACACTTATAAAAGCACTTACAAAAATACACTAACATAATTGGTTGTGTTGGGAGCAGTTCGATTTTTGAGTTTCCACTGTAATTGCATAAATAATGTCAACCCATTCATGACTACATATTAGAATGGCTACTCTTGAACATCGGCAAAAATCAAACATTTCCCCTACTTTGAGCTCCATTTCAAAATCACCTCCATTTCTAAAATGAATTTTCCATTCTATCAAATGTGACTACGAAAACGAGAGTATAACCATAAAAACTTTACAAAAATACACCTCTAAAGTCGGCGATTTAATCCAAAAACACTGTCGGAGTTTTTTTATCCCCTCATTATGCACTGCTTGCTGCAGAATTCTTTTTATACTGCACACACTGACCACACAGACCCATTCTCTCACATGTGGGCCTACCAGCTTTCTCCCACTTGATTTAAAGCCGCTAGAACTTTTGAGTATATATATATCAAACACATTGGCTTGTAAGACGTACAATGTATATATACGACCGAACTAGTCAATTAAACAGTGCAGCAAGTCTAGAAAAAATACATTAAACATTATTGTGACTCGGACAATACACAAATAACTAGCACACAGGAGACTGAAATTTACGATGTTTCAGTGTGACTTGGACCATGATCCAAGCCACACCAAAACATCGTTGCATGTGTCAGTCTATGTGGCGGTTATTTGTGTATTACACATACAGCATAGTAATCTCCTGGTATCCATGAGAGGTTATTATACTCAAAGATGTGCTTTAACCCTTCGAGGGTCCGTCCCGTAGATCTACGGCTTTACGTTCAGGGTCCAAACCGTAGATCTACGTCATGAGCTCAGCTCACTCTGATAAACTGTGAGTGGTACATTTGGGCCTAGATATGAGAGAATACATCTATGTGGTATGTGTGCACCACATAAAACAGATCCTGCAGCACGCTGTGTATGAGAGAAAAAAACTGAAATCATGATTTTTCGATTAAAACAGCGACTTTGCAGTGTTTTTTCGTATGTTTTTTATAGTTCTATTTGCGATTTCTTGGTCTCATTTGATAGAATGGAAGACATATTACAAAAATAGAGATGATTTTGATTGGTTTTAGCACTGGAAATGGCTTGAAACTGAGCTCAAAGTAGCAGAAATGTTAAATTTTTGCCGATATTCAAGAGTAAACAAACGACCTCACACATCTAATACACGCCAGCTGGTGGGTCTAATATGCATTCACAAATATGGTGATGATATTTATACAATTATTACAGTATTGCATAACAGTAAATCTTCTATTTTTTGGTGTGAATAAAAATTCATTATGTGAATAAAAAATCAAAATGGAATTTATTTTTAAAGCCTCAAAACATAACTAATGAACAGAAGAAATGTTAGTTTAGTGCCAGGAATACCTACATAGTTTATTCTGGACCCTATTTTGAAATTGGAATATTTTGAACTTTGTGTTAAATTGGCCAAATTAACAATTTCTGATCACCTTAATTTGAAGTTGAAACAGTTGACTTGACGATTTCTTGTGCTCAATCGATAGAATAGAAGTAATACTAGTGAAATAGCTAAGAATTTGGTTGACTGGAATAATGTAATTGGCCTAAAATGGGAGTCAAAGTCGGCAAAATCGCCGATTCATAAATATCGCTGACACATCAAAATTCACGAGAGCATAATTTCGTCAATTTTCCATCAAATTTCATACTTTTTGTTTTATTACCTTCACAAAAAGATTCTCTACTATTTCATAAGAAAAAATAACAAATTTTTTTTTTTTAAATTCTTGGACACTGGGGCACCACTTCAGAATTGGGCCTTGGACCCTGAAGGGGTTAAGCTGCACAGGCCATGTAGTGCCTGGGAAAGTACTTATTATTCCTTGAAACAAAAGTCTTCATTAGCATCAAGACATTTCTCCTCAGAAATCTTAGAGATACATTCCTAAGATGTGGAAAATGAATGCAGACTCCAAAGAGACATGGATGCTACATTCCAGAACCCCCAACAAGACAACCTGAGAGGTAGTGTTAAGAGGTTTTTCCAATATCTTATAAAGGGTTTACTCAATTAGAAAATTCATCATGGTCCAATAGCCACAGAACAGAATTTTAAATTTAACCCTTTGAGTGTCGAGACCCCTGCTTGTAAACTGGCTCATAGTGTCGAAGAATTTAAAAAAAAAAATTATGAAATGATAATCTTTTTCTGAAGGCAATGAAACCAAAAGTACAAAATTTGATGGAAAATTTATGGAATTACGCTCTGACGAAGTTAGTGATCTCAAGTGATATTTACGTATCGGTGATTTCGCCCACTTTGGGCCAATTCTTCTGCTCCACTCAACCAAACTCATAGCTATTTTGCTACAACTCCTTTTATTTTATCGACAGAGTACAAGAAACTGCCCATTTACCTATTTCAACTACTAAAAAGCGATCAGACGTTACTAATTTGGCCAATTTCACAAAATTCAAGAAAGGCCAATTTCAAAATAGGGGCCAGAATAAACAATGCAGACATTCCTGGCGCTAAAATAACACTTTCTCTGTTAATTATTCATGTCCCCAGGCCCCTCTTATATTATGCTTGCTTTTCATTTTGAATTTTTATTCACACAAAAATAGAAGAGTTACTAGGATGGAAAGATTTATGGAGAAACATCACCCTGAGAAGGATGTTGCAAGCCACATCGGCAACTTGTACAGTGACAAAGTCTTATCCCATTTTAGGGAAGTTTTAAAGAGACGCCAGAAACAGAGCTCTCTCAAGCTGGTCCTAGTGGCATTAAGAAACAGAGAAGTAACCCCAGAAAAGCACTTGGTACTTGAGGTGCTGATGGAAGGGGATTCCCCTTCCAAACAGTAACTAATGCAATCTCTCTCCTCCTCCAGTCTTCCATACACTAAGAAGAATCGCCAATAAAGGTAAGTGTTATGCTGTTAATTTTTCATTAATCATGTCCCATTGTATTATGTACTACAACTATATTTCATGTAAAAAATTTTTTGTTTTAATACTTCTGGGTGTCAGGAACGGATTAATTGTATTTACATTATTTCTTATGGGGAAAATCGATTCGAAAATCGTCAATTTCGATAATAGTCACACTTCCAGGAACAGATTAATTACGAAAAACGAGGGACCACTGTGCTAGGTGGCAGTCACCGCCTGCACAAGCTATAGCAAATTCATTAACAAAGTGATGACCAAATATTAGACGGGAGAACAGAGGCCAAATCATTAATAGCTAGGAGAAAAAAAAACAGTGGTGCTAAGAACAAATTCCTGAGGGACACCTTCAGCTTGGATGTAGTCAGGGGAAAGCAGATTATCAACATGGACACAGAAATCTCTCTCAGACAAGAAGTTTTTAAGGAAAAGTGACACACTGCCCAAGAGGCACAAGGAATGAGCTTGGGCCAAGATGTTATATCTCCAAGTACTGTCATGTGCTTTTTCAAGATCAAAAATGACTGCAATAACCAAGTGGTTATTAGCAAAGGCATTATGAACCTAAGAATCTGAAAGGAGTAAGGGGTCGATAGTGGAGTGACCCTTATGAAAGCCAAACTGACGATTGGAAAGATTACCGTCTCTCTGAATACCACGTTAAATGTCAATTTACAAGACATTCCATCAATTTGCAAACTGCTCTAGTAAGAGCAATGGGTCGATAGTGGGAGGCATCATGATCTGAAGTACCCAGTTTAGGAAAAGGTAGAACAATGGCACTTTTCCATGGATGGGGAAGAATCCCTTGCCACCAAACCAGATTAAAAAGATATAAGAAGACTGCGAGGGCTGATGGATGTAAATACCATTGCACACTGATATGCTATCAGGTCCAGCTGCCAATGATCAGCAAGTGGAAAGTCTTGACAAGTTCTGGAAGTGTAAAAGGCATGTTACAAGACCTATCTCTGCTAGAAGAAAAGTCTAAAGGCAGCAACTCTTTGGCAGACTTCATTGAAGGAAAGAAACAAGGGGTAGAGATGGAGCCCCTGAGAGATACA